GTATGCATTTGGGTCATGATTCAAAGTATAAAAAATTATAAGACAATTGGATGAATGAATAATATGCATATGTTTTATATAAATTTTTAAAAGTGGATGTATACTCAAAAAGTATTTATCTATATATAGTACTTCTGAATCATATAAACCACTTTTTTTTTAGCATATCTACTTTTGGAAATGAACTTTTGGAGTTGTTAAATAAGCATGGTTTGAGTTTTTACATACAATTTTCATATGTTATGTCCTTCCTACATTTTTAGAAATAGCCCAAGATTAAAGAAAACAAACGAACTGGTCAATAGCAACAACCATATTTCTCCTATTCAGGTCACTCACAACTCACACACACACACACACACACACACACACACACACCTTGTCTGGTGTTTGATATGGAGGAGAAATATAAAAGAAAGAATGTAAATGAGAAGGGACAAAAACAGATGACACAAGTCTCTGGGAAGAATAGCTAATATATAGGATGAGCTACAGAAGATTCCAAAGTTCTGCGTAAGCTTTTAGAACAAATGTTGGGAAAGCATATCCGCTTTTTAAAAAAATCCTGCAATGATCTGAAACCTGTAGATGATATTTAATTGAGCTAAGTTGGAAATTCTATACTTTCAAAAATCAATTTTGCAAGTAAAAGAGAGAAGGGCAGCGAGTCCTTGGACACCAACCTTTTCAGTGCAATTTCATCTGCACAGATAAACACAGACTGTTTCAGAGAGACAAACTTACTCTGCAGTGGTCAGGATACAGCTGCTGTATTGAGCTCAGCTCTGAGTATATTTTTCAAGAGAATTGTTTAGATGTTTTAAGAGGATTGCAGGGTGTCCACCAAACAAGTGCAATCAGGTGACATGGGCATATGACCTATGGTCTGTGAAGAACAGTTGCAAGAGTTCAGGATGCTTGACTTGGACAGGAGAAGGGTGCTCGGGAAGGGATGGGGGTGCATTGAAATATTCACGCGGCTGTTATGAAGACAGGATGAGATGAGCTGATTCAGAGGACAAAGCAGAGCCTCTGAACAGAAGTTCCTGAAAGGTAGACTTGAGGTTAGGAATTAGTAAGGAATACCTTTTAACAGAGAGGGACCGCTCACCATGCACCGAGAATCTTGGTGAAGTGGTGAGCCTGTTACTGAAATTGCTCAAACACAAGTGTGATGAGACAACCTTTTTGGTTTCTTTCACCCTCTATATTCTGGTTTGATGCCCCAGAGAGGGAAGAAGGACCAACTCTACAAGCACTTTATTAAGCACTCACTTGGGCAAACCTCTGTGCCAGCAGCGAGAAAAGCAAAGGATTTGGAGTTAAAATAAAACTGGCCAGGAGAACTGCAGGGCTGTTCCTTCTTCCTGTTGTTTCCCTCATCCCCACAACTGACTGACAAGTGGTTAATATGCCTAGCTCCTTCCACGCTGCATCTACAAAACTGCCTTGTATGGAACTGTTCGGGTTCCTTTTCCTGGCTGACCAATCATGACTTGTGGCTGTTAAGGGCTATTTACACAGTTTCAGCCTGTGGTTGGTCTAAGCCTGTGTTCAGAGCCAGCTTCCTCCGCGACTCCCTGGCACACGGGACCCTCTGCTGCAGAGCCAGGGGGCAGCACAATGCAAATGGCAGGTTCAAGTGCACTGGGGGCTCTCTCTCACCAGTTCATATACCTTGACCTTGGTCAGTCAGTAACTACGAAGGGACTGTACCTTTGGCTAGAAGTGGTCAGAGGAAAAGCTAGGTGAGGTGAGATCCAGCCTGCTGCTTGTGGACGCATCTGAGCAAGCGAATGCCTTTCATTAGAATCATTATCCCTTTTTTTTTTTCTCTGAATCCAGGAAGAAGCCTCACAAATATGCTGCTAGATACTAAACGATAAAATATTGCCAACATGAAACAATTTATTCAAATCAAAGTAGGGTGAGCGCATTCCAAGAAGAGTCCATCTGTATAACTATGTCTTTAAAAATGTCCCCTAAGTAGAAAGCAAACTGCTGTGGCAGTGATTCCCAAGGGAGGAATTGTGGCGCGTGAGGAAAGAGAGGAGATATTTTACCTTCTGCTTTGTATTGTTTGTGTTGGTTCAGGGTCTCTTTTTGCAAGGAGCATGCGCATTTACCATTTGGAAAAAGAAAAGCATGCTCACCAAGAAGATGGTGTTGGGTTTAAACTGTGATAGTTACACGACTGCTGTTTATTTTACCAGAGAAAGCTGGGGTAGTTTGTCAACATGAAACTGTTAGAGGCTGGCAATATTTGTAATTTGTGATTGCTATTTCCCTGGATATTACCTTGCGTGTTTGAAAATACACGTGTTTTTATACATGCTCCAAGAAGCAGCTGCCCACAGACGGGATCAAAGCAACACAAAACACATTTCTAATCAATTCCTTTGTCCTTTTAGATCTCATTGGTCTGCCCTGGGTGTGCTTTATATATGCAATCATGAGTCTCGCAGCCCTGGCGTTTGTCGTTGTGTTTATACCTGAGACAAAGGGATGCTCTTTGGAACAGATATCAACGGAGCTGGCGAAGGCGTGAGTATGATGCACACTGATCTCCCAGCAGCCCTCCTGGGTCTAAAATGCAGCTTTTATATACAAATAAATCATAATAATATCTGAATTACTTTAGGATATTCCCTTAAGTTTGAAATTATATCTCAATGCATAATTCCAGTTTTTCTGCTATGTACTTAATGTGGGTGACTCCGCTAAGGAATGAGGATAGATAACCAGTGCTTTCTAACAAGTGAACCTTTCCAAGTTCTTTTCAGTAAGGATCGAAGAACCCCTCCCCTCTCTCTAGCTCACCCCCAAAGGAGGGTTTTTTGTTTAGGGTTTCAGGCTCGCCCTGTGCTAGAACCGTGGGCTTTAGTCCTTCCATCTGTCATCCTTTCCAGTCTCCTTAAGCCTTAAACACTTGTTAAGACTAAGGTTATCAGGAAAATTCGGGATTAAGTGTCTACAATTATTCCAAATATGGCACAAAGTAAGCTTAAGAAGATCAAGAGTTTCTTATATGAATAGGCATTCAGAAAATGGGTAAAAAAAATTCACATGGAGAGATCACTTAAACAATTAAACATAGAAATGGGCTGTAAAAAAAACCACTCCCCTTTTCTTTTAGGAGCAGAATTCTCACTGCTAAAACTGGGGCCTGGGGAAGGGGATAATGTACAGGGGCCAGGAATAAGGGGAACGTTGTTACTCTTCCTAGGATTAAATCCTTACACTTGAAAATGTAGAGATACTTGTTCTTGGGTTTTAAATATAATGGGGGGAAACTACATATTTAGTTTGTGACTTTCTTCTAAAAATACGTCCGATACACTAGAGAGAAATGTATGATTGCATGAAATTGTGGGCATAATGATTCTTCAGCTTTTATCTGAATGAAGAATAAACGTCAACTAATGGTAGGCATGAGTGTACACACACACTTATACAGCCCAAGCTGTTAATCCTGGCTTATTAGGATGTATAGTAAGCAGGACTGTAGACACTTTTCACTTTTTACTTTACAAATGGTTTATAATTTAAAAACATTTCACTTTAGTGAAGCAAAACTTTTAACTCAAGCCTTAAGTATCAAATTGTAGGGCTAATTTTTAATGTAGAGAAGGCCATTTAAAAAAAAAAAAGAAACTTATTCATTGACGAAGAAAAATACAATTGTCAGGAAGGCTGGCTCTCTGCACATTGAAGCCAAATGATTGGATTTCTTAGCGAGCTTAGAATCTGAACAAGACTATTAATTACAAGTACCTGATTCAAACAATTAATAGCCTCAGACCTCGATAACTCGATGCATTCATCTGTAAACATTTCTGACAGATTCAGGCCTTTTCCAGAGCNTTTTGCTACTGTTATGAATCGTAATGTAAATATCTTTTTGTTTTCCGATGGTCTTAGGCGACCCCTGTGAAAGGGTCATTCAACCCCCAAAGGAGTCGTGACCCACAGGTTGAGAACCGCTGCTCTAGTGTCTTTGTGTTCTTAGGACAAATTTTAAGGATGCACACTCACCTAGAAAACATTCTGGGGTGGACATTTTCAAACATATTCAAAAGTAAAGAGAATGGCAAGGAACTGATGAACCTACCACCCAACTTAAACATTTGTCAATCTTAATTCATTTGTAACACCCCCTGCTCTTCCTTACTAAATTATTTTAAGTCATACCCCAGACAGAATGTCATTTTATCTATATGGTTTCAGCATGGACCTCTAAAAGATAACACATTTAAAACTATAACCATAATATCATTATCACATCTGAAAATATTAATAAGAATCCTTTGGTAACAATCAATATATGTGTTCATATTCCTCCAAATGTCTTATAATTATTTGAATCATGATCCAAATATATAACTTACAATTGATTGGTATGTTTTATAATTTTTAGGCTTCATCTCCATTTTTCCTCCTCTCCCCCACAACTTTATTTTTTTAATTAAATTTATTGGGGTCACATTGCTTAATAAAATTATATGGGTTTCCAGTGTACAATTCTGTAATACATCATCTCTATATTGCATTGTGTGCTCACCACCCAGAGTCAGTTCTCCTTCCATCACCATATATTTGACCCCCTTTATCTTCTTCTACCATCCCTCTCCCTCCTGTACTCTCAGAAATTTTTTTTAAAATTAAAGTTTATCGGGGTGACAATGGTTAGTAAAGTTACATAGGTTTTAAATGTACAATTCTGTAATACATCATCTATTTATCACATTGTGTGTTCACCACCCAGAGTCAGTTCTCCTTCCATCACCATATAATTGACCCCCTTTACCCTCATCGATCACCCTCCTCCCCCCTTACCCTCTGGTAACCACTAAACTATTGTCTGTGTCTATGAGTTTTTGTTTCTTCATTTGTTTGTCTTGTTCTTTTCAGTTTTATATCCCACATATCAATGAACAACTTTGTATTTTTAATGAAGAAACTGGGTCATTCCTTTCATACTTTTCCCCAGGCAGAATTTTGCAGATTGTCGTCATATCACATGACATTTTGTCCTTTGTGTTTCCTGTAAGCTGCTCTTTAGATCTAGAGGCTTCAGGAGACTTACATTTTCTGTTTGTTTGCAGCCTTCTTCACAGTGGATGGCACATGTCCTGCCATTTGAGGCACATCTTGTTTGCTCGTGTCATGTCGGCTTCCTTGGAGCACCATTGCCCAGATTTGCTATTTTCATTCTATTGTTCCTTCTAAATTTTCATCTGTAATACTTCTTTAAGGATTCATTTCTTCTATAACTATTAGAAGAAATTTCTAATAACTAATTACTATTTGCCTACCCCGAAGTATGGGTCACATAAGAAATATAAATGCTTGAAACTCTCTCTTTTCTAGTTTTTGAAATAATGAGGTTGTTCCCCAGTATCCTCCAAAATTGGTCAAAAGTTGAGTTTTCTTTCTTTCCTTTTCATATATATATAT